TGTTCCAGGGTTAAATTTAGACCCTTAAAATTTCAATCGTGTGTCATGTGAAGTTAGGCAACACACTGATTTTTCTTACAGTGCCAACTTCAATTAAATTTTAAATTATTGCTCTACTCATATTGAACTATAAATAAAACACTCACATTTCTGTCTCCCTTTTCATGAAACACCTGGATTTTAACAATGTGTTTGGAGCAGAGCTTTCTTTCTTTGGCTTTGTGTACTCGTCCCCAGGACACGCCCTAATTCACCAAATGAGGGGGCGTGCTTTAGTTCTTTATGTCAAGTTAATTTTCTCTGTCTCCCTCTGTTGCTATGGAAGGATTTTAAACACCACCTTGTTTGAGAGTTGGGAGATTATAGGGCCCTACCCATCCTGGTGGGTCTTCAACCTGCTTCTGATCATGCTGCAGCTGCTCCACTCCTTCTGGTCCTACCTCATAGTGAAGACAGCATGCAGAGCCATCTCCAAAGGAAAGGTGAGTCACTAAACCCAGTTCTTTTGCAAAATCCTTACCTTTGTATCTAGGTTGCTGTGCTGCTAGTGCATCTATAAATAGTGTGTGGTGTTCTGATGGGCCATTTTTTGACTTTCTCTTTCTGTTTTCTATGCTAACCTGCAACATTCAAGGTGGGAAAATGGAATCCGTTACATGTAAGTACATGACATTTTGTACAACTTTTAGTTTTTCCTCATATTTCTTGCAGCTAATGTGGTTACTGGCTGAAAGCTTCTTATTCATGCTATTCATGGTCCCTGAGGTGGAAAACTCCCTAGCTTTTCCTGTACCACCCTTTTGCAACTTCCTCTGAAATATCTGAACCTCTAGAGGATGGATTCACTCGTAATTGTGGACAGACATTTGGGTTCCCTAGACAATCGATCCAATTAGGTTTGGTGGTCATTTAACTCATTTAACTTTTTAACTGGTGCCGTTGTCATCAAAGCACCAGAAGTAGGAAGAGCTTAGTAAATTGTGTTGTTTTAGCGATTCCCGTCCACTCGAATAAATTAGCTAAACATTAACATGAATCTCTTTCTGTGTTCACTATCTTCTAGTGGATTCGAAAACCTTGCCATGTCAGATTGGCGAGTGTTTCTATTGTTAAGAAGCATGAAAGGCCTCTGTTGAATCACTTTTTAAGAACATTAAGTCCATCATGTCAACAGGTTTTTAAGCTTTTTCGGTAAATCTCACAGCACATGGTCCCTATTGTGCCAAGATCACTGAGACCGACAACAGATAAATTGGTGCTGGCAGTCTAAGGAGCTTGGAAAGAAAAGCGTCTGGACTTCTTTAAGTTTCTTGAAGACGTTTCACCTCTCATCCAAGAAGCTTCTTCAGTTCTAAGGGTCAAATGGTGGGGAGTCCCAGATTTAAACCCAGTGGGAGTTTCCCCCCAAAGGACAAAGGACTCCCTGATGATCCTCTACCTAATCACATGAGCCAAGGTGTGAAAGTGGGTGTGGGTCACAATCAGCCAGGGTTTCAGGTGAGCTCATTGTGAAACCTGGCCCCACCCTATCACGTGATTTCCTGAGGTCAGATGGCCCAGGATGTGAGTGGGCCTTAAGGCATCTGGGAAGGGATCTCAAAACTGGATTATAGATGGCAGAAGTTTGTGTCGTAAACCACCGCCTCTGTTCAAAGATGGTCGCTCACAGTGGACATAAATGGCTTCTTTCACTCCTTTTCAAACCATCTGTCCTCTCTGTCCAAAATGTGAACATTGGCATCCTCGAAAGAGTGACCTTTGACCTTTAGATGCAGATGGACAGCTGAGTCTTGTCCCGTGGAGGTGGCTCTTCTGTTGTGCCATGCGCTTGTGAAGTGGCTGTTTGGTCTCTCCGATGTAGAGGTCTGGGTGAAGCGTCTTCAAGCAACTCAAATAAGTCCAGACGCTTTTCTTTCCAAGCTCCTTAGACTACGATGACCTGGATGACTGAGAACCTTCACAGACACATTGGTGCTGGCAGTTTAGCTGTTGAGCTCTCACTTTACATAACGTAAGGTCGGCAGTTTGAATCCCATCCTTTAAAGATTTGGCGTTTGTGTTACTTTATTTGCTGCTCACCTTGATTCTCCCATCAAAATGTTAAAATGTCCAAGGCTTTCCTTTATCACCAGTGACAAAACTGATGACGTTCCTGTTAGCCTCAGCTTTAATGTGGCAAATTAAGGTCTGTTACAGTTTTTGGATTTAAAATGTAATACAGTAATACTTTTTTTCCCTTTACTAAAATATAATACTCATATTTGAATACATCTGAACAGCTTTAGTCAATCAAATCTATCCAATAGATCTCCTCTGGTAGAAACTCTTAACTTTGCCACTGCTACATGCTGTTCTAAAGTCAAAGTTCAGAATTACTTTTAAGCAGTTGTGCTGCTAGTCTGTGGATGTCATCAGAAAACTTTATTAAAGCCAGAAGGAATTAGTTTTTTACAGATGTTCGCTTAAAAGATACATATAAAAGACAGAAAATTGAAACTCTGTAAAATCTGAATACTTTATTAAAAATATGTAAAATATAAAATAATGAGGAAAAAATAGGGTACTCAAAGTGCAATGATAAATTAAGTTTATTAAAACAATACTATGTATGTGCAAATAGTCTGGGTGTCATAAGGAGGAGTTATAAAGTGGGCTGTCCAGCCTGAGATGGAGAGGGGTGTGAAGGATTGTCCGATATTGCTGGTAACTTGGACAAGCATCCTCCTCTCTGAAACCCAGGATGGCACCAGCCACTACAGACTTATCAGACTTATAAAACATCCTGAGCACCATCTAGCAGATGTTCAAGGAGATGGTTTTGACCTTTCTTGTAGAGGGCTTCTGTGTTTTTAATAAAATCCAGTTTACTGTCAGTGTGAGCACCAAGGTAAACCTCGCTGGTATTCTCGTCCTCCTCATGTCCACAACCATGTCTCATGATAATTAATAGATTGTTTCATCTTTAAAAATTAAAATCAAAAATTTTGTTATTTAAAAAAATGTGATCAGCCAGCAGACCATCTTATTTCATCCTTTGACATCCTGAGAAAATTAAACAGCACTCTAAACATTTTAAAAAGGCACAATTATTTTATTGACTCTTGAGGAAAAGAACTGTAATAAGTATATACTGCCATTAAACTCCAGCACAGCAGCTTTTCCTACCACATGCAAAGAGTTGATATTCAGGCACCGAGGTAACTATCTAAAGGATGAGGCTAAAAGATTTCCTGACACATAGCATCACAGTTGGTTCATAAACAGTAATCATGAATTGTAATACGCTGTGAATCAGTTTTTTAATCCCTGTAAATTTTGTGATGCAGGTGTGCGCTGCAGGAGTTTAAAATTCCGGGTTGCTACGAAGGAAAAAACAGAAGAGAAAATGGTTTAACTCATATGACAGTGCACTTGACTAAATTTGAATCTATGAATAATAATGTGTATTTTGAATAAAAGCTTGCAAAACATTAAAGTAGGTTGTTTTAAAAAACAAAAAATCTGTATTGTCCGTGTATTTTCTCTAAATCAGTGTGGCAGATTATCTCAGAAATGATATGATAATCATATTAATACGGTAATAAGCATGGTAAATGTGTGTTTTGAACTGGTAGAAGCAATCAAACCAGAGGTCTCCGTATTTCATGTTTGCGAATAGATGTTATAGCTTCTTCTTCTTTTTCTATTTTTTGCCTGATATTGATTGGCAGCTCCCGTTTCACATGCAAAAGCCATTTATAACACCGTTATGCTTGGCTGCCTCAGATAATGAAACAGATAAGAATTTTAATGAGGAAAAAAAGGTAATCTCCAGCCGCCCCTTTCTTTTCCGCAGGTGTCTAAAGACGACCGCAGCGACATCGAGTCCAGCTCCGATGAGGATGACAGCCCACCGCCAAATCAGAAGCACCACACCAGCGCCACCAATGGGACAAACAAAAGTCATGGCACCAACGGCTACCTGATAGGAGCCCCGTATCCCGACGAGCACTGATATCACAAGAGTGGAGCCACGCTACAGACACCATCAATTCTTCTGTGTGTGAGAGCGTACGAGAGGGTGTGAGAGCGAGTGTGTGTGGTGGGTACATGAACAACATCGCCTGTCTGGAAGTTCTGGATAGATTTAGCTAAATGCAGTTTTGTTATTGATTCTTCACTAATTTCCTTCGACAGTTTACTCTCCTCATCTATATATTTACATCAAACTGCACTCAGTGAAATATCAAAGCACTCCTATTGATACAACCCACTCTCTGTTTAACCAGTGAATGAAAGCCTTTCACTCTATGGTGTAAGCATGCTACTCTAACATACAGTGGTCTGGCATACTGGGGGTGTGTTTTCTCCTATGTTTGTGTCATTCTATGTTATTTATTTATAATTTTTTTATAAATAAGTTTGCAGACTGTAGTTGGACATTTATTCTACATCTACGACATTCTTTGATGTCAGTGTTAAAGATGACATACTCCTGAACGAGTAACAGTAACGAGTATTAGCAAAATGCTAAAGACCTGGGTTTACTTTTAATGCTACACCTCCAAAGATATGCCACAACTCACAAATGGATAGTTATGTGACATTCACTTACACTTTAAAATTCATTCTCCACTCAAACTGTATATGAGATGTCAATAACAGTATTATGTGTGTGCATCAGACATGGCTAGATGCTGTATTCCCTGTTGAAGCATTTTGTTAATTATTCTGGTACATTTCTGGTAAGCGTTACATTAAAGGCCATTTGTCCTCTTTTGAGGCAGACAAGAATTGTTTGAATAGTTCAATAAAAAAAACCCCAAAAAACATGAAGATTGCAAATATGTGCGAGTGTGTTGAATAAGCTTAATCGTGGAGGTAGCATGGCTCATAACTGCAGTGTACACAGTTTGACTGTGACAATTCAAAATGCCTGCTGTGAAAAGAGGCTACTGTGAGACACATTAGCCTCAGTAACACATAAACAGCATTCAACCTCCTCCCATTGCTTCTCTGTGCGCGGTTGCTTAATACCTCAAATTTATACTACTGTGGATCTGCTGGAGCGTTAGGGTGAGGTTAGGAACTCAAATGCTGGACACAGAGGTTGACAAGGTCAACACAACAACAAAAATATTGATTGGGATTCTCAGAAGGAGATAATACACATTGAAATGTTACTTTTGAATAAATATTTTAGGGATATAAGTTATTAAGTAGTTAGAGCTGAATAATGTGCAGATTTGATACAAAAGGTAAGAACAAAATTGAAATGTAAAAAAAAAAACAGAAGCACAAGAAACAAACATATGGAGCACAAATATATTATCTTACGAGGTAAAGAAAAGCCTCTGTGGACACATACAGACCCACCAATAAATGGGGCAGACAATCACAAAATAGGTAAGTATTTAAGTAAAGTTTATTTACAGAGTGCTTTTCACAGACACAAAGTGGTTTCCAACACAAAAAGTAAAAACTAGAAAATGGGGAAAAGAAAAGCAGTAAGCTAAACCAAAAGAAAACAAGAGAAGCATTCATAGTAAAGCAGATAGTAACTGAAAGACAAATAAGTAATACCTGGCCTTGAAGAATACCAAGAAGGAGGATGACAGAGGCGGAGGAAACCAGAAAGGAATAAAAAGAGAAGCACAGCCAAACAAACCCATTTAACACAAAATATAGAGTGAAAAAATCCAGGACTAGGACAATATCTAATACCCCAGAATCCTAATCATTAAAAATAATGCAGTCTAAATAGGTTTTACATTAAACAACTAATACTCCATTAGCAATTTCAAAGTCAAATTAAACTTTATTGTCATCTCTGCTATATACAGTACAGTATATAGAGAGACCAGACGACGAGGCTCCAGTTCCATTCAGTGCAAAAGACAATAAATATAATAAGAGAAATAAATATACAGTTCAAGACTAAGGTAATAGGATCAATAACAATTTACAATTTGAATGATTTTAAGTGACCAGTGTAGCAGCTTGTAAACATGAGCAGGATAGGCAACTGATGGGTCTGACTTGGCTCAGTTCAGTTTTGTGGGATGCCAGCTGGTTGTGCGTTTGGATCACTTATGCAGGCCAAACTTACCAGATTTAATTGATTGTTCAATGTTCAAAGGAAGATATGTTTCATACCAAGTAGCCAAATAAAGTAGAAACTGCTCATTACTAACGTTTTAAACTGTTATTACCAAATAGACATGAAATAAAACCACGCAAGTCCTTATAGAATAATTATTACCAAAACATCACAACCTAACAACCTAAAAGTATTAACTTTACTTACTTTCTTTAACTTTCTCTAAAGGGTTATTAGGAAACTCAGCCGGTTTAATTAGCTTGAACATTATATAAAGTAGTTCTATTTGGTCGTATCCTTTTATTTATTTATGTTTGCTAAAAGCGTGGACAGACCTTTTTGTGGTGTTTATATATTCCCCCGTCCTGAATCGGTTGCACATAAACCTGCTGCCTTCCAGCTTGAGTTTAAGCTTGCAGCTTCTTCCGGTTTTTTTTTTTCCCCCCTCTCATTGGAATTTTCCTTTGGCGCAATGCATAAAGCTCAGGTGGTTTGCGCATGAGTAACTTTGGGAGGAGGGTGGTCAAAGTTCCAGGTACAAAGTCAACAAACAGCCACAGTCTTAAGATGAAGGAACCTACCACCACCTGCTCTGTGAGTATATATTTTTGACTGATCGCACAACTTCCACATTCAAATCAAATGTGTCAGGTACTCACGGTGTATTATTTATCACTTTTCAGTATCACCAGCTCTATCAAAATGCGAAACAATATTCAAAAAATGGGGAATACTTCTGCAAAGAGCTCATGTCCGTTTTCCAGCAAAGGTACGCTGACTGTGGTTAGAAAACACCTGAGTCGCTTTAGGAGTTACTGTTTGACCCAGTTTTATTTCTTCTTCTTCCTTGCTGCAATCTTTTTCCTGTTCCAGGGCAGAGTTGGAGCTTACTTACTCCAAAGGCCTACAAAAACTCGCGGGCAAACTCATCAGGGCCTCCAAAGGAATGTCAAACAAGTAAGGGTGACACTGTCTTTTGTCAGTTTTGTGTTTAACATGACCTCTTCCTGGGACTGATTGCCATGTGCTGTACAGGAATAATAGTGTGATGAGCAATAACATGCAGCCACCAAGTTAGATGTGATCAAAACACAGGCAGGTGTCAGGCTAATTAGCCCACAGCTCTAACCTTTTCATGCTGGCTCCCCACTCAGTTCCACCCACAGTGCCTGGTGTCATGTGTCAGATGAGATGTACTCAAGAGCAGACGCCCACAGGTAGTTTTCAACCTGAGTTCAGCTCGAGTCTGCGCCAGTCGAATGATTAAACAAATGTTATCTTGAGCTGGAGTTTAAATGCAGATTTATGTCTTCATTTCAGATCAGTAGGAAATGCATTTCAGCAGGAAGCAATTCTGGAAATACGACAAGTCTTAGACGAGCATAATAAGAGGAAGAGGCCTGTATGTAATTCAGTCTTTCCTTTTATCAAAATCTCTCTGCTACAGTTTCCAGTGATAGCACAATATGCCACTCTTTTCTAGCTTGACAGTGCCATTGAAAGAACCGGAAAGCTTGTTACTGCTAACTGGAGTGAGCAACTGAAGGTAAGGGCGTGTTGTAAACATATACAGGGACAGAAATTGGCTTTGGTGGAGCTGCTGAATCATAAATCCATAAAATGACTGTATCTGCAAAAATATGTTGACATGTACAGTCAGAGAATTGCTATAATGTGGATACCTGCAAGAATGCATTAGAATGTATGCAGAACTCACAGGTCTGATATAAGCTTTAATAATATATGTGTTTGAACAGTTGCATGCCATTAAAAGGAGGGTCATGCTGAGGAATTATGATACTTTACGATTTGGTTTGATGGCACATTATAAAGTCTGGAATTGTGACCAACCATAACCATTCCTCCCTTTCAAAATGGGTAGATTTATCATTAGTCACTGTCATGTTTGGCCTTATGAACCATAATGATCATGCATAAAATGACTCTGTTGTGACCGTTTCCAGGAACTGTTTGGCTGCAATGCAAATCTGATATAAAGCTTTTTTTTTAACACGTGACGCATTCGTTGAAAATGTTTTGAAAAATAACAAAATAAAATAATAAAATAAAATAATAAAGTGTTTTTGTAGCTATGAGTGTAAAATTTCATATCTACAAAAATAAACTCACAAGAAGCCAAGATAAATGATTTATCTTTCAAATTCAGTCTATTCCCTTTGACACACAACATCACAAAGTAGTTGTAATGTTATTTAAAGTTCATAATAATATATTCATTTGATTTCTTCTTTCTAAACTAGATCAAAAAGAAATTAATTGGACTAACAAGAGAACACGAGGATCTGTTCAACTTTGTTGAAAACAACAAACACATCTCCACTGAGAAAGAAAAACAGAAGGTACAGAATGTGTCATACTGTTTTCATCACTGCAGTCTTTTTCACCATGGGGGGGATACTTACTGGAAAAAGCTGTCAGCACGGTTGCTAAAGTTTTCTCTCTGTTCTTGACTCCAGATGCTTAACAGGCTGACTAAGTCAGCAGAGATGCAGGCGCGGGTGGATGAGGAGTACTTTAATATCAACATGGAGGGTCATCAGATGAGACTCAAGTGGGAAAACACATTGAAAAACTGCTACCAGGTGGAGAAAATAGTTTCCTACTTGTCATTTTGTGGGCATTTAGCTGTTCCTCTTATTAAGAGTGGCTCTTTATGAGATAACGGGGCTCAGTGACGTAGTCAAGAGTTTTTCATTAGTGTGAAAGATTTCACTTCTGATTGGTTCCAGGAAACTCTGAAAGCACAGCTTATCTCCCAGGACAGTATGTTCTGTATTTTGAGCACAAAAACCAGACGTGAATCCAGTTGAGAACCTCTGGGAAATTATGTATTGATGCCTAAATGCTGGGGATCTTCCAGGACACCATCCACAGTCTCATCAGAATGGGGTCATAAGCATTACTGAGCCACATTGTGACTCCGGTTGGATCGGCCTGTAATATCAGGTTTTAACTTTGCCAGTTGGTGTAATCTTCAAGGATGGTTGATGATTATGAGTTCTACTAACCGTGGTTATGTCATTTTGTTCTCAGTGAATTATGCAACATACATTTCAGTAGCGAATTTTTAGCTTACATTTCTTTCATCAAAATCCACTCTGTGCAGCAGTAGACATTGAATGTATTTTCAGAGATTCCCACATTTATTTAGTGTACACGTTGTTTAATAAGGACACAGTACCAGAACTTGAGGCTGCTGGCTTAAGCTTGTGATCTTTCTTTTACTCTGCACATGGTCTTTCCACACATTATGACCTGAATCACTTGGTGCATTTATTGAATTTATGGGTTAGATGGCAATCATCTAACTCAAGTGCATATATTTGCTGTTATGTGCTCCATGGTTTAAATGGCCAGGAGATTATCTAAACAAGGACTTTCTCACTTTCTGCTCTTTCAGATCATACAGGAGCTGGAGAAGCAACGGATTGAACTTCTAGGCAACATCCTAAAAAGATATAACCTCCAAATGTACAGCTTTGGACAGACCCTCAAACATGTGAGACATCCTGACCACCATCGTCCAGTAAACGTTGAATCACTGGTACATTAAGGATATTATATCACCTATGCATACTTGTGCTACCTCTAGGGCCAAACACAGATAGAACAGGCGGTCCAAAGGGTGGACACTGATAAAGACATACAAGCCCTGGTGGAAGAGAACAGAAACACCACTGAAGATCACAACGTCGAGTTTTTGATGGCTGATTATTTCGTAAGTCTTTGGTGTCTGAGAATCTGCTGTTGCATTTCAAACCGAAGTATTTTTTTCTGCAGGCGGTCATCTCTGCAGGGGGCATCTTTTTATGTTAGTGTGTGCGTGCTGCAGATAAAAAAGTTACTGGTAGGGCCTGACAGAAATCCTGCACCGTGATCTACTCTATATTAACTGTTACATAAATATAGCTATACATATATACAACATATACGTTTTTTTAAAGATGTGGCTTCTATGGGAATATGATGGTAACCTCAATGAGATTTTTCTGATTTAATAAAATGTAGTTACTGTATAGGGACATGTACGATTGGGGTGCAACATGCAGCATGTCTGAAAAGTTTTCGGGACGAATTCAAAGTTAACATGCTACTTTTATTCCCTGTAGATTTAACCATCGATGGTAGATTTAAAAAAAAATGTTTCTGATTTAATAAGTGACCAGATATCTATGCTCAGGAGGAAGACAGCAAATCATTCATGGACAAAGACAGAAGAAGAAAGGCAATCAAGCTTAAACTTCAGCGCCTCGACGAGAATATTACGAAAACAAAGAAAGACTGTGAAGGCAAGCTGTGTTACGCAACTTTTAAAATAAGAAGTAAAATCATTTGGTGTTTTTCTGTCATTCTAATTCTTACAATGTGTCGCAGGAATTGAAAAACTTATGAAAACATACTCTGAAAATCCATCTTTTTCCAACCAAAAGAATCTTGAGGAAACCGAGCAGCAGCTTGATGAGGTAAATAGTGGACAGTAATGCCAGAGTGGATGTGGATTTATACTGCTGTGTGCTGTTTGATGTTTTCTTCAAACAGACCATGAATCCAGGGTTCCCAATTGCTCACTAATGTCAACTCATGTATAGAATACTCTAAAACTGGATCTCCTGGAGGCTACTCATTACAAACTCTCTACATCGCTGTCTAAATTAGAAGGGAAACCAAAGTCCCATCACCGGTTCAGCAACAGTATTCTGAAATGGAAGGACAAGGTAAGATTTCCATTATGCAGCCGCCTTTTGTTGGCACAGAGGATTTGTAGCTAAAATGTGACTGGACTGAATCCTCAGCTTAATAGGAACAGACTTGATAGAGGGTTAACTTTAATCTCTTACTCTGCATACCCCATACATATCTATCAGTAACATATTTAAAGCAGATTAACTGGAACTATAGTGGAATATTGGTTTTACTGGACAGATGGTGCAAGTAAGAAACAGGATCTTTTTGATTTTCCCAGAAATAAAAGCACAGTGTGCACAAGATTATTCCCAGTATCTGCTACCTTGCACCTTCAGTACTCCATCACCCTTCCTGTCATTCACACACATGTATTGTTTTGCTTCTACAGGCTTTCATTCCTCTCCTTCAATACTTCCACCTGCTAGCTTGTTGATTACAGTTATTTTACACTTAATATTTAGCATCAACTGGTGAATCAGGTTGCTGGGGCAGGTGATTTGCTGGGGCAACAGGCCTGTCGTAGCTGGTAGTTTGGTATCGCATCAATAAATATACTTATGTTTGGTTCACATGTAGAGGCAAAATGTTTTTACTTGAGATAAAATATTTGCCTGTTTTTTTCTGAATGAACAAGATTATTTTTATTCTATATTATTAGGGATCCTGTCCTTTCCTGTATCTCGTGAGTCACTGCATAAACAGCATGAATGCATTTCTGATGAATCATCTTACATTCAAAATCGGCTCATAACATTACCACCTGCAGTACATAAAGACACAAACTGTCTCGATGCAAAGCAAATTACAGCTAAATTACACTAAATTGGTAGGTAGGACAGTTTGCTTGCAGGAAAATGAGCAAATGAGAACTTCTCTTGTTATTTCAAGTTATCTTATTAAATTGGAAAAACACCAGAAATAAAAAGACTGGAATATCAAAAAGGCGAATTTTTTATTTTATATTACATCGTTGTACAGTTCTGCGTTTACGCTTCTGTAAAGACAAATGCTGTAGTTGAAACCCTTTCTTCTGTTCAAGGACTGTGAACATAGTCTAGTTCAGCTGGCTCGTCCAGTCAGACTCAGGAGGACACCCTTCAGATCCCGGCAGTCACTGAGAGCTTCCATCATTTACAAAGGACCACCTCTGTTTGTGGCACAGCAGTCTGTGGATCCTTCAAAAAATGCCACTGACCAGGTCAGTTCTACAAGCCCAACACAGGAAAGTCAAACTGCAGAGAGTGGCAGCACTGTTAATGGAGTCTTGGAGCCTCACACGGAAGAGGACAAAGGACAAGGTAATTCATTTACAGAGCACAGATACAACTGTTTGTTTAAAATTACAACATCTGGAAATTCAGGAAATTAAAGCACTAAAAATAGTTATTTTTAGCAGATAAAACAACCCCAGAGTTGTGCAGTATAGGAAAATGCAAGGCCATTTACAACTTCACCCCTGAGCACGACGATGAACTGGCTCTGAACGAAGGTAAGTGACACTAAACCTGAGTTTACTAAAAACGTTTGCGTTTCTTAAAAGCAAAGATTTAAAGTTTAACTGAAAAAATCATGTTTCACAGGAGATTTACTAGACATTTATTCCAAGGAAGAAAACGGCTGGTGGTTTGGCATGTTGAACGGGCAGATGGGCCATTTCCCATCAACCTATGTTGAAGAGCTACCTCGGTTAAGCAGCATTAAATCATCTGATGCCTGACCGACCCTGAATCAAATTCTAACCACAGCGATGCCAAACATTCATTAGAAACTTAGTCTGAAAGGAACAATATCTGTGTATGCACCGATTTTAATTTGGTTAATTATTCAACATTTGTCACATTCAGTTCTTGTATATTTATGAAGTGAGATGTACATTCAGCATCTTAACACTGCCTCCTGGGTATTTTGTAATGCTCCTAGGATTAAAGTTGAACATGACACTAATATCAAATAACAAGTTTTTTCATAATTTATATTACACTCGATACAAGGTCGACTAACACGAGGCTTTAATAAAGAAGTGCTTTATTATATCATTGATGTCTGTAGCACGTGTAAAAAAAGAGATTTGTAACAAACAAATAAAATAAAACTGTTTACATCAATGTTTAAGTGGTCAGTTCCTTATTATTCAGGATTAAAAGGTAAGCAGTTGTCCAAATGTCAATTCACTCGCTGGGCCCACGTCCTCATTTTAGGTTTGACAGCATTATCGTAGATAAAGGTGAACGGCTTGGACATTCATTGAGCTGCGGTTTGAGCAAGGCCTCGAAGGGGACTGGCGTGGTCCCGCTCCTGAAATTCATATACTTATCTCCAACAAGAACTCGTCTGAAATGATGCCAAAAAAAGAAACTTAATCTTTTTAATAAGAAGAATTCACACTTGTTAGCTACTGAGTACAAAAGAGTATTTGAAATTCAAATCTAAGAGTCCTGAAGTTGACTTTTTATTTAAAGATTTGTAATCTTCCACTGATTACTCCATTGAATCCACCGTGCTTTCTTTAGTCCAAATTGCAGGGAGAATGTCACTGCGTGCTTTTCATCCTTCCCTGCGTTCAATTTTAGCGACGCGTCTGAGAGATAAACTCCTTCCTCACATTTGCCAGGAATGCTGGTAAATTATTGGTCTCCTGAAGTCGCTTTTCCAAGGCTGGCAAACACTTGAGCACGGGGTCACTGGAGACAACTGTAAAATAGGAAAAAAAACAATGACTGATTACAGTGGATGCAATAAAAGAGTGAGCCACAAAATATCAGGTTAAGTGTTCCAATGTTTCTCTCTGGTCTTATTTGAACCAATTTTACAAACACATTAAATATCAGTGTGTTTTTTTGGTCTTCCTATAGCTTTTTAAATAATAATAAAAAGCTCATATCTATATTTGTGAATCTGTTTGAAATTAATACACAGAAATACTATTACATTACACAGGGTTGTGGGAAAAAAAAGTAGAGGTATTTAACTTACTCTGGTATGATCCGCTTTCATTAATCCCCATCGTGATGACATAGGCGCTGTCTGGATCAGAGGGGTTGATGTTTCGAAAAACAAACTGCAACTTTTCACCTTTAAAAGTTCAAAACAAAGTTCTTGAGTCGTATCAGAAGCGGCGTGTGTCACAAGGTGAAATCGCAACAACCAGCTGACCATCATTAAGTTGCACAACACTTTTTCAGTAACAGTACACATCTCCAGAGTTTCTTCACGATCTGATTATATTCACTCTGAGCTGTGCATGTCTTTATCGTTAATGATGATACATACAAGCATAAATATCAATCAGTTCACCATGGTAACAGGAATATGCAGAGCAGAGCCTTCATTTTAATCCACCGAAGGTAAAAAAATATTACTTTATGATTATAGTCTTTCTATTCAATGCATTCAACTCAACCATCAATTAACAATTAAGCAGTTTGTAGGTCAGAATTACTCTAGTTTGGATATGTGCATGCAGACAGCTTCAGAAACATGATGAATGTGGTTCCACTGTTTTAACTAGTACTCATGTACTGAGTATTTATTCCATTCCGACAAAAAAAAATCAAAATAATCATAATAATATTGATTTGTCACTTCTGAATAGCTAGAGCTTTTATCCTTATGGTTGTTTTATTTTAGAAAGTATCATAACCACATCAGTCATGATCAGCCTAAAAGGAACGGCAAGACCAAAACCTCTTGCACAAAAATCTGTTACAGATAACATAAACAAGAGTCGACAAACATATGTGTATTAAAAATGCATGGTTTTTGCATACCTTTAACCAGCTGTGTTTTGCCGAGGATTGTTCGTACCTCCAAGCCCAGATGATCCTGAAAGACGAGTCTGGCTTTTTGGAGATTCTTCAGTCTGTCTTTGTTTGCTTTGTATTGAGATTCAATCACTGAAATGTAGGCAGAAAAAATAAGTGTACTATACAATACAGTCACAGTTTAATATTTAATTTATACGTTACAGCATCAGTGTCACAATCACACAATCGTACGTTCTTTTCTCTTGGTTTGTTCTTCTTTAAGCTTCTCAATCTTCTGGATAATGTCCTCTTTCTGCATATCCTTCTCCTGAATCTCAGATATCACTTCAGATATTGCCTGTCGTTTCTCTTTTAAAGCCACTTTTTTCCGTTCGAGGTCTACGAGGCAAACATTGTGTCAGTACACAAGTTGTGTCAGTACAACTAAGTCCAGAGATAAAGTGAAGGTGCGGAAGCAGCATTACAAACCACCATTTTCACATGTACACTTGAACTCAGCAGTATGACCTACATTTAAGGTACATGCTAATACTGTGTGCCTAATTTACTGAAACTCACCTTTTTTGAATGTCTGTATTGTTTCAAACAATATGTCATCATCCTTACACTTCTTTAAACACGTATCTGCAACAGAAAACATTTATTATCAGCCATATCAGACAACTCTAATCAAGTAAGAAAATATGTGTAATGTTGTAATCCACTGTGCTGGACGATACTCAGACTGTCTTAAAACACTCCAAAAACACAACTTTGGATCTAGTTGTTATTAAACCTGTAAGACTAAATGTTACTCATAATTAATATTCTCTTTCTTTGACATGTTTGCCTTTATTGGATAGTGAAGCAGTGAAGATAGGAAAGTGAGGAAAAAAAGGGGACAATAGGGTGTCTTAAAAACTAAAAAGTCCATGTGCAATTTCTTTTCTATTGAAATAAAGGATATTAATAATGAAAACAAGCTGAACAGATGTTTGTATATGTAGTTCAACATTAAAAATAAATTTAAAAAAACTTACCAATTGCTGACTTCACAAACTGCCTGTGGGATTGGGCCAACTCTGCCGTTGTGTCTATTATGTCTGTGTATGTCTTAAGCTCCTTGTTGTGGATCTCCTCCATTGCACTTGTAAACCTATCGCTCATGTTTGGGTCAGTGATGGACATCACGGTGCTTTGTTATGAATCTGTGTTAAAACACAAGCACAATTTTCACTGCAGAGCCAGACAACTGTAGTGGTTGGTCAACACTGGCGCAGAACAGAATACAGAAAAAGCTGCTCAGAGTAATTTATTTGTCCAGGATATGAGTGTCGCCCACAATCAAAGACATTATCACGTAATGATGAAGATGAAATAGTAATAAAAATCTATAAAGAACATTAGAAAAAGAACATCATAAATAAACAGCAACAAGTACCAAAGTTGTGAATAAGACATGAAATTAATTGCAGTTAATTGGTTTTGATTTAGCGTACAAAGCAGTCAAATAAACTTTTAATTGAATTTTTTATTTTATTGTGAGTTAACTATTTTAATGCTGAACGCGCTCTCAATGCTGCTGTTTATTTCTAACATGAAGTCTGTACATTAGAGCTCTGAAACTTGAAATGGATGGAAACGAACATTAAGGGTTACTCTGTGTGCTCAGCTCTGACACTTTCCTGTAGCCTAAAACGAAGATGAGACCTTGCTTTGTGAGCAGATTAAAATGAAATTGATCTAATCGATTGAACAGGTATTTTTGGTATTCTCTGTATTTTTTGCTCTGTTTACAAAGCTGTGTAAACAGCTTCCAGCAAGGTAAAACAGCCTTAGCAGCAGATTAAAGATAAAGTATAAAAACATTTCTTGCATCATGTATGCATGTAAATCACAGAATCTGATGTACAGCTACTGCTTAACAACTTGCACACATTCCCCCAGCAGAGAATCTACACGGCTTTTAAGACATGCTGTAAATAAAAGAATCTGAGAAAATGTGGCACTTTCGGCCAAAACATTGCTTCGTAATAAACCCCTCAGGCGGCTGTGTGTAATCTAGCAGTGTATTCTTGGTAAATTGTTAATTTTATAGTTGTTAGTGCTCTAGTAAACTTTTTTTTTCCTTTGGCTTAACCAATGTACAATGACCCAGACGTTATGGAGATAAAAGCAAGATTAAAAAGTACAACAGTACAGAATAGGCTGTGCTGTACTGTGTTGTATTTAGATTAATCTTTTAAAAGACTTATAGTTATGCACTGTGGCTGTTATTTCCAGCAAACAATGACACCAAAACATTTCAAAGCATATCAAAGAGTACAGCTGAAACCATCGTCAGTTAAAACAGTTTTAAATGTTTACTGGCATAATTAGTTATTTAATTAGTTCACAATTGACCTGTCGCTAGTAACAGCTGGCTTTATTATTAAAATACAACATTATTTGTGCATATCGGACAACCGGTGACGTAACAGCTACACCAAAACCTACTAACAACATTAGCATGCCAATGCTAACGTTAGCCGGGGGAACATTAGCGGTTAGTTCGTCATCGATTAGCTTGCAAATGAAACCAAAGGATATTTTACAAATGTGGCTTATACTAGTCAGTCCATTAACGTTTCCGTGTAACACTCACATGTTTTGAAGAGAACTCTAGATTTACGTCTTGGTGTTGCGCAGGTCGTTATTTTCAAAAATCCGCGGTCTAAACGTAGGGGGCGGGCACTCAACGACAACCGGAAATTACGTTAATCATTCATATTATTTCCTCTGCTTTCAAATTGGCTAAACACTGTTATGTTTTTAAACCGAGAAAACATGGTTTAAAAATATTAAATAGCCCACTCCTCTTGCTAAATTTATATTTATAATGATATATATAATGTTTTCAGGATGTTTTTTGCTGAAACGATATCCCACCTTGTGGTCAGTATGTGGAAGTTCAGATGGATCCGAAATTCCGTCCAAACTATATAAAACAACATTATACTTATTTCAGTATTTGTGCTCTGATTAGAATGGGAAGATAGCTGAATGCTAACAGATGTACTCAGTGAACTCTACTGTGCCAGATGCCAGATGGGCTGTGTTTTTCTCTTGCAGCATTATAGGAAGTTCCTTTTGTTGCTACGTTCACTGAGAATGAGAATATTAATGAGGCTGAAAGGATCCAGCAGGTTACGTGTAACTGTCTTTCTTCGTGTGTACAATGGCTAATATTTAACAATTGTAAAAGCAATGTTCTGTGAAAAATCTAATGTCTACATGCTCAGGGTGTAAACAGTTTTGTAACATGTCTTAAAATGCTGAGCCCTAATGGCAACATTATTTTATGTTGGGTTCAAAGCAAAGATGTTGCAGTTGTTGCCATGGCTTCATTTAATGATTTATGATACCAGGTTGATATAAAGTTCCTGAGGTAGGAAAGGACTCACGGTGCTTTAGCTGGCATTGAAGAAGAAGCTGTTGCAGTTGTGTACATAGATAGGGAACCACATGGATTTTGTCTACAGCTTTGGTGTGCAGGTTATACAGTACCTGCAGAACAACTGCTGGCAATATCATGACTTCATTGATTTTGTGTCAGTAGTGGGTGACCCTCGTAATATTTTCTCTGTTTATTTCCCTCTCTGGTTCCATCTCAGTCACAATGTTGGCACCAAGATGATTTGGGTGGCTGTCATTGGAGACTGGTTCAACCTTATTTTGAAATGGTAAACCTACTCTTAGGTTAGCATTTGTATCTTTATTTTATGTATTTCTGAACTTTATTCTTATATTTTCTTTTGCAGGATTTTATTTGGGCACCGACCATACTGGTGGGTGCAAGAAACACCCTTCTACCACAATGATTCAAAACCACATTTGGACCAGTTTCATATAACTTGTGAAACAGGGCCAGGTTAGTATGCATGTACGAGTCAGTACTTAAAACTATTAAAGTGTAGAAAACTTTATTTAATGTTTTTCTGAACAGGCAGTCCATCTGGTCACGCCATGGGCTCATCATGCGTGTGGTATGTGATGATCACTTCTGCTTTAAATTTTGCTCGGCCTTCCCGCGCCTCATCTGTACACAGCTTTCAAAGGTGAGAGGTTATATGAATCTTTACAATTAAATTAGTTGTCTTGTCTTTTCTTAATATGTATTATTCCTACAGGTTTTGTCTTCTGAGGTCCTTTTTGTGGATGACTTTCTGGGTCATTCAGATAAGTGTTTGCATCTCCAGGATTTTTATTGCAACACACTTTCCACATCAAGTTATCCTCGGTGTTTTCACTGGTGTGTTCCACTCTGCTGTCAAAAAATATCTGATATATCTGTTGTTTTGTGTTCGGACTAAAGACCTTTTTTCTTTCTTTAATGTGTAGGCATGCTGATTGCTGAGGCCTTTGATCACATCCCCTCAGTCTACAATGCAAGCTTGAAAGTTTACCTCCAAACCAACATTTTTCTTTTCTCTTTCGCTGTTTGCTTTTATCTGCTCTTTAAACTGTTGGATATCGATCCCATGTGGTCAGTCAGCAAAGCCAAGAAGTGGTGCGCTAACCCAGACTGGATCCATCTCGACACAACGCCTTTTGCCGGTCTGGTTAGAAACCTGGGAGCCTTGTTTGGGCTGGGCCTGGCAGTGAACTCTGAGATGTTCGTTCAGAGCTGCAAAGGGAAGAACGGCTGCAAAAGTATGTTTAAACTCATGTGCGTGACTGCAACGCTCACATTTCTGCAACTGTACAACTTTATTAAAATGCCCACTCACAATGAGGCTCTGTTTTATATACTGTCGTTCTGTAAAAGTGCTTCAATACCTCTCGGTGTGGTTGCTGTTATTCCTTACTGTGTTAATTTGCTCATCAGAGAGCATGAAGAGAGGAAGCTAGCTTAGACTGGGGCGCAGCTTTCAAGTTTTACAATATTACCCCCAACACTTATTGATCAAGGATATCAGCAAGGTTGAATGGTAGTGTTGGCAAACAAGTGTAAATCTGTATGTGTATTATGGAGGTAATCACACGAGACTGAAACAGTGTATGTTTAAAAAAGTTGCATTTGTGGGTTTGAATAACATATTTTGAAATTTTCATTTGCTTGATCTGTTGCTTACCTGAGTCCATTCTATGGTGTTTGTTTTATATGTAAATCACAATAACTGTAAAGACTGTTCAATATCTTATTAAAGAGTTTCTTTGGGACATAATACAACCCTGGAATCATTCGGGAGATGCTTTTGCCTGAAGTGTTTTCCCATTTTTTCCTTACGAATATCCATCCTTTTTAGGGTTTACGTCCATGTTTAAGAGGTTACACACAAATTAGAGCACAAATGGTTTTTGAAAACTTCATTTTGACAGTTTACATCACAACAGCCTGAAACAAAATCAGACCTCCAGATTTTATTGTGACCTGTTAGCCCATGAGTTCTGTGTAAAAGTCAGATAGATAACAAGTAAGATCCCTTACCACTGCAGCTCAGATGAAAGAACAGGTGAAATTTTATATTGTCAGAAATGACAGTTTATCGATATTTATATCATGTCAGAAATGTCGGTTATAAAAGTATCATTTTTAGTTTTTAAGCACTTTAAATGTATGGACATACAGCTTGCTCTGCATGCATTGAATAATCTCTTGTAGCTCTCTTCAGGAAAACTTAGATATTAATCAGCCAAAATAAGTGAAGCAGAACAGAAGCTGTGATGTAACTAGATTAGGCAGATTAGGTAAACTCCCCAGCAGAACGTATTTCCACGTTTTTCTCCACCATCCCGGGTTGCTTAGCATCCAGCGGCACCTGAGGCTGGCTCTGAATTATGTAACTGTCCTAAGTGCGTAGGCTCCTCATTAAGCCCAGCTCGAAGAAACATCTGTGTGCCTGGGTGCTTTATTATCAACTGGTACTGAGGGTGCAGCAACAGAGAACCACTCAGCAGCCTGAACTCTGTCCAAAGGTCCAAAGGTCCCAATTAAATGGTGGTTAGCGCTGCTGTGTCACAGCAAGACCGTCCTGGGTTCAAATACGTTTGCCAGATGGGGCCTTCTTTCTGGGTTAGGTTAATTGGCAATGAATTGGCTGTAGGTGATAATGGTTGTTTATCTCTCTGTATTAGCCCTGTAGTAGACCTATAACACATTCACTGTGTGCCCTGCCTTTTGCTCTCTGGGAGCTAGGATGGACTCCATGCTACCATCACATGAACTAGCTGAGTAGAAGAAAATAGATGCTTAAATATCCATAATAACTTCTATATGTGAAGTTTAAAACAATACAGTAAGATGTATTGTTTTAAACTGAAGAGAAATGTTGATATTTTAGTCAGAAAAAGCCGTACCAAAACATTAGAAATAGATTACTTTAATGATTGTATTATTATACAATTTTAAAATATATATATATATATATTAAACAAAAAAAACAATAACTGTGGTTCAGTGATACAAACGTGGCTTAATACATACAAAAGTCTTTATCCTCATCTTCTTCATTTATAAACACTCATTACAGGCAAATAAATATACAAAAAAGAGCTTTAATTAATTGATAACAATAACAGATTCTTGTGCGGTTTAGATCATTCCATTTGGTGTTATTTGGCAAAGTTTAGATGTGGAGTCGGTGGTATCCCAGTACTTACGGACAGATTTTATGGAGTTAAGTATATTAAACGTTTATGTGTCCTTCATAGTTTGGGGAAACCTGGAGATGAGTATCACTATTTATTTGAATATAGACAGAAATATCTGCCTGTATATTTTAGGTTAAGACCAAATGCTTATGAGATGGAGTTAATTAGCATTAAGGATATAATTGTACTGTCACGATCCTGGGTCTTAGGACCCAGTGTTTTGAGTTCTAGTTCATTTTGATGTTTATAGTATGTTTAGCTCATTAGGCCTCCTATGTTCATTTGCTTATTAGTTCCCCCTTGTGTTTCCAACCCATGTTAAGTCTCCCCTGCCCTTCATGTCTCTCTGTGCCCCCTCTGTTCTGTTTAGTGTGTGTCTTTGCATGTTTGAGTTTCTTGTTTTCTGTCACCCTGCATTGTGCATTATGTTCTCATGGTTGGTCTTTTGTTACTCCCTCTAGTCTAGTCTCTTGTGTTCAAAGCTGAGTATTTCCCTCTGTGTATTTTGGTTCTTAGACCTCTGCCTTATGGTTTGTCTCTGTTTCTTAGTTGCTGTCTCCACTGTGTCTAGTTCGTGTCTCTGTGTGATACTTCCTGTTTTACTTTGAAGGTCCATGCCTCATGTGAGTGTTTCTAGTTTTGCGTCTCTGTCTCGTCCAGTCCTGATTTCTCCCAGCTGTGCCCTCCTTCTGTGTCTCATTCCCTCGTTATCCCTCTGTGTATTTAAGCCCTGTGTTTCTCTTTGTCAGTGTCGTAGTCTCCCTCATAGCTGTGTGATTTTTCCCTGTGGCTCCTTGTGCTTTAGTTTTCCCAGTTTAGTTTACTTTGTATTGTTTTTTCGTGTCCCACTCCACGCCAGCAATAAAGCTGTGTTTTTTGAGTTTACCTTTTGTCTCTGTGAGTTTGCGTTTGGGTCCTACTTTTGCCTGCACACAGCCGTATTGTGACATGTACAGAGTAAACTGACAAATTTTGTAAAGAAATTGTATCTGTATTTGGACGTGGGAGATTTGCTGACAGATGTATTGATTTTTAATGATGATGATGATGATGATGTGTACTGAAGAAAAGAAAATTTGTAGATTTTCTTTTTTTATCCTGGGAGGAGTTTTATGAAAACGAAGTAAAGTTGTGCATTTAAATGAGCAGGATATGAGGGACGATTTTCCAAATGGTTCAAGTTTGCAACTAAACGGCTCTGTAAATACAACAAGCTCAAATAATTCTAGCTGATCGGAGCACCTGTTGTGACCAGTTTGTAATAGGCGCTCCTCTTGGCCATGAGTTTATCATGTGTGCCTTGCTCGATGACAGCTCCATGAGACATCACAGCTATGATGTCTGCAGTCTGGATGGTTGACAGCCGGTGAGCGATGACGATGCAGGTTCGTCCTTTTCTTGCCTCATCCAGAGCAGTCTGCACGGTCTGCAGGACAAAAAATCTCTGTCATCAGCGAGTTCCTTTTGAGTGTCATGGATATATGATATGGATGTTTTGTCAAACTTTCATTTAAAAGACTAGATTAGAGGACTTAAAAGATACCTTTTCACTTTCAGTATCCAGGGCAGACGTGGCCTCATCTAACAGCAGGATCTTGGGGTTCCTGACAATAGCACGTGCAATAGCGATGCGTTGTTTCTGTCCTCTTGACAGCTGCGAGCCCTGGGCACCAACCTGAGTCTCATATTTCTACCAGTTTGAAAGAGAGAGAAAAGCAGCAAGTTATACTCTAAGTTCACCACAAGTCATCTTTAAAATGTGTGTTTGTTTGATTTTTTTTAGGATAGTAAACCTATACTAAGTGCATTTAGCATCTGGAAAACGCTTGTCTGCACATTCTGCCAGTTACCTTCTAAAAGGAACTATAGGCAATCAATGTCATATTCAATTTAGCTTTAATTCTGAATTTATGCTTCGTTCGCTTACTCAGCTTTCTTTTTAATCAAAAAATGACTGACCGGACAACATTTCAAGTCATTTCAGTCCTACTCACATCAGGAAGCGTCATCACAAAGTCGTGAAGATAAGCTTTCTTAGAAGCTTCAATAATCTCCGCCATGCTGACACTGCGGGTGTTATCTCCATATTGTATGTTCTCAGCTATACTGCAGTCAAACAAAACTGGCTCCTGGGACACTATCCCAATCTGAGATCTTAGGAAAGGCACATTGACTGAATGAGATGGGACGCCATCAATCACCTGAAAAGAAAAGGTGACACAGTTACAACAGAGCGAATGGTTTTGCTCACACTGAATACATTTTGTGTATCTGAAATTAACATTTAAATCAGTCAACACACACCACTTGCCCTTCATCAGGGTCATAGAACCTCTCCAGCAGTTGAACGCTTGTGCTTTTCCCGCAGCCGCTGCTCCCAACAAACGCCAAAGTCTGCCCGGGCTTCACAGACACACGGAGGCCCTTCAACACCTGGGTGTCCGGTCGTGTCGGATAGGTAAATTTGCAATTAAGGAAATTTATTTCTCCTCTGAAGTTTTTCTAAAGATGGATGACAAGATTCACAAAAGTAACACGGGCTACATCTTAAAACTCATGAACCATTTCAATGTACAGTTATTGACATTCACCAACCCATATCTCTCCATCTGACTGGCTTATGCTGATTTTAGGAACTCTGTCCAACAATTTGAAAAACTGGGCAGCAGCAGTTTTGGCTTTGGCATAATCTGGAGTGAACGAGGAAGCTCTGCCCAGTGCTGTCCCACTGATCACGACTGCTGAAATCACCCTGGGGAAACACACGACCACAGTGTTGATGTTTGGCAATCACATCACAAAGTTGAACATGTCAAAAAGCAAGATTTTTACCAACCTAAAAACAAACATATATTGCAGACCCTCAGCCCTGACCAGGAAGCCTCCGTATCTAAATGAAGCAGCATAAGCCAAAAAGATGACACACTGAGCAAAGCCAAAACAGAGCCCATAGATGTTGGCTTTCTTCTTGGCAGACTTATAAGGCAATTCAAGTTTCTGCTCATACGAATCCACAAATGAGCTCTCTTTGGCCAAACCTGCAATGGTTCTGATGTTGGCAAGAGCCTCACTGGATACCTGTGGGAGAGAAATCACTTAACCGCAAGAAATTCAAAGCTGCCTGTGTACTGGTGTGATATTAAAATGGAAGATGAACTTACCTGACCTGCTTCTTCCATTGCCTTCTTATCTTCATTTGCAAAACCTGTCAGCATCTTGGCTTGGAATACCCCAGACAGCCCAATGAGCGGCAGGAAGCACAAAATTACCAATGTTAATTTCCAGCTGAAGTAGAAGGCAATGATGAAAGAGACTCCTATGCTGGTCACTGAGTTAACAATCATGCCAATCTGGGATCCCGTTGCCTACAGAAATTATTCAAGCATGTTAAAAAATATTTAAAAAACAAGATTTTAATTGTAAAACCAAACTGTGAAAACAGTCCTGTAGTTTCCTACTTACCCCCTGAACCATGGATGCATCTGTGGCCAGTCTGGTGGTCAGAGCTCCAGGACTGTTTATAGGGTTATCAAACCAGCCAATCTCTTGTTTCAACATGGCCTG